AATAACACACTCGGGGCAATGCCAGAACTCAGACAATAATCCACTTTCACTTCTCACCACACTCACAGAAGGAGAACAGTGCGAGAAAAAAGTTCCAGACAGACGCCAAACTTCTCTGAGACTTTCTTTTGAAGAAAAACATTCTCTCCAGCCACAATATTTTGCTTCGAATTAGGTTCAGTATCACTGAAAAGCAGTCATTCGAAAACAGGTCCACATGTGGGACGTCGGAATCTGATTTTCAAATTTTCTTCAGTGTAGAAAAATTTTGTAGCTTGTTAGGTTTCTGATAGATATCCCATTAAAAGGTTTTTAAAATGTTTTCCCGTTTCAAAATGCGTTGAATATATAGTTTTAATTATTAATTCATGAAAGAAAAGAAATTTTTATTTAGAAACAAATACAGGGTGGTTCCGAATTTGGTACAAACTTTAAGGGTAGATACAGGGCATGGTGTGTAAAAATCCTTTTTTGTTTAGGAATGTACGGGCGCAAGTGCCGCGGTGAAGTGCAAACAGGGGTAATAAAAGAAAAGAGAAATGGAGTTATCGGTTGGTTGCATTGTTGGTAGAGGGCAGTAGATGTCTAGCTGCCTTCAACATGATGCATCTCAGTAGAGTAAAACTCCATTCGTAATTGTGCTGACATCTACGATGGGAGACTAAGTATACCGAAAATGCAGCCATGCATTACATGTACGGCTGATCAAATGGTAACAGCAGAGATGCGCTACGAATGTATCACGCGCAATTTCCAGATTGACGAACGTCACCAGACATGATGCTGATCGACGAACAGCTGTGCATAGTCCAGGCCTGGAAGAAAGCACTTTGAACGTAGTGGCTGATAAACCCAAGTACATGTCTACTATCTGGAGACCTAGGTCTACCTATGACCCTTTAATGGTGACATTCGTAGCATACGTTGCCAAATATTAGGTACAAACAATAACCCGAAACAAATAAATGTGCATGACTTATAATAGCAGAAACCGGCTAAACTGACTGTCGTCTTTTGACTGAATGAGTAAGGATTGTGTATAGTGGTAGTAGTAGTACACACAGGAATTTTTCAATTTTTCAGGAATTTTTGCACTTTTCAGGGGGTCTGGGGTCGAAAGTTCACCATTCTTGTATCATACTCCTTTTGATTTTGTCGATTTTCGGGAACAAAACACAGTAAAAAACTAATTATTGAATAAATAATTATCATTAATTAATAAAATTAATCATTAATAACAAATAATTAAATTTTACGTACTATATACTTAGAATTATAATCAATGGGAAAAAAATCAAGGACTTTGGGAGGGGGGGTCCAGACCTCAGGACCCCCCCCCTTGTGCGCGCCACTGAGTGGTAGGCTTGTACGTGGGCGACGGTAGAATAGATGGCGGCTTAGATTCGTATAAATACGGTAATATATTAATATCTTTTATTTCATATGACATCAGTAGAGCTTTCCATACTTCATCAAAATTCATATAATTGAACTGCATGCGTATAGCAAAAATATCTTATTATTATCGCAATATTGTAGCAAAAATAATATTTTAATATTATCACTAATATTTTAATCTATGTTATAGACATTTTTATTTCCTGAATAACACGCACAATATGCCTTATTCTAATTTTAGTTTTTATCCACTCACAAAAAAAAGAGAGTCAAATAGAAAAAAATGCAAAAATGTCACGGATATATATGAACTTAACAAAAATTATGATCAGGACAAATAACTTGTGGTGCTTGATTTATGAGTATAATTCACATAAAAATCGAACGAGAAATACATCAAACATAGACGTAAAATATGAATCTGTCAAGAACCATAAAGAATTGCTATTAAATTATGTCTGGGAGGGTAATAATAAATAAATGGTTTATAATTTGTGTATGGAAATAAATTACGTAAAATTATATTTTCTACAAGTTAGTGAAAGAAATAGACTGAGTATACAATACCTTAATAGTTTCCCTCAGCAGAAAAATTTCTTTGGTCATGTGTTCTTTCTCATTGTAAAGAGCTTCTAAGTGCTGTTGTACTTCCGCATCCGGATTCCTCATGTGGGCCAGCCTTAGTTCTTCTTCTAGCTGCCTTATAAGGGCTGCCTGTTTCTGAAAATACAAAATTGAAGGTATTTACTAACACATTATTAAACAAAGGGAGCACTGTACAATTACAAACATCATTCATTTTCCTCAAATATAAATGGAAACTGCACAAACAATATCATAAAAATGTTTCTCTATATCCTCAAATATGTGTTGTATCTCTGGGACTGAAAAGTAACATCAACAACAATGAAGTGGCGCATATCCGGAGAATAGAACCTGTGAATTATATATTCGTAGCCAAGCAACATGACCACTAGACAAAAGTGATCACCTTTGTCCAGAGGCTGTTACTGGCTTATGTAGATACCACTGCTACAGTACTCCTCCACCAATGAGTCGGAGGATAGGCGTCAAGTGGATCTGATGTTACTTTTTCGGAATAGCTTTCTTTTAATGAATCTTGGTAGTCTTTTTTAGGAACAATATTGCTTGAAATACGACAGTAAATTTTGTGATGGGTCCTATTCGCGTCCTTTTACTAATCCTCATGGGGGAAATACTTCTTTAACTGTTGTTCGAGTTTAAAACCGCCTCCCGTAGAGAGAACTTGACTTTATGCTAACTTATGTGCTATATAATCCCTAGTAAAGTGAGCGTAAGAATTAGTTGTTCGGCTGCTATAAAGCTGATTAGTGAAAGTAACTATTGGAAGCTCTAGGTGTACTTGAAAAGAAGTTTTAGACCGGAATATCCATTTGATCCGAGTGAGACCTGACGAGAGTTGTTACATCGGATCACACGCAGTTAAGTGCATAATTATTTGTCTGAAGAATTGAGGGTAGCCCTTTAATTTGACTGCTCCCTCGCTTTATCACATTGCTTGATAGTAAATTCATAAATAAATAAACTTGGTCATTTTTATAACAATGGCTAATCTTTTTGTGACCCAAATTTCACCAGCGACTGCAGGGTCGCGACAAATTTATCTTTTCAATAGCTTGTTGCCGAATGGTGCTGCGTAAATTTCTCAGAATTACTGTTTCAGAGCAGTTATTGTCTTTTTGGTATTCAAAGTAATCAAGAACTTTGACATGAATGATTGTGACTTGCAGGCTGCTCTCGTATGAGATCTGCGGGGGTTAGATCATTTTGGTCTCGGTAACCCATTGCGTAATTTCATCACCGTTCAATATTTCATGTCCCGCTAAGTTATTGTCTTCATTTACCAATCACGCAGTGCTTCCTTTCAACATTTTTAGATCCCTTTATGTCACACGCAGCATTCACTGCACTGCTTTCAAAATTATGAAATTATTTGCCACTTTAATGTACTATTTTCGGTCACTGTTTTTTTAATAAATAAAACAAATGAGTAAGCATTTCTTTAAAAAATTTAATTTGTTAATTGAAGATTCCATTTCGCATTAAAATACAGAAAACGAAATATAGGAAACATGTAAGAAATAATGGATTAATTCATATAGAAATGAATAAATAACAAAATGTTATGCTCTTATAAGCTAGTAAAGCAAAAAGGTGGCCTTAATTTCAGAATATTTATCTTTTTGAAAAAGTTCTTCTACTTTATGGATCACATTCTTTAAGATATATTTTTTTAAAAGTATTAGCTACTATTAAAATACTTTTAAGGTATCCGACTACGTTTGGAACCGTGATTTTAAAAAAAGCGCATAAATGGATAATTTTCATGATATTTAGTGTCACTCAGATTAGAATACACGCATAAAATTGTTTAAGGACATTTTGACAAATTTTTTTTATTTAAATATAATATTTTGGCAAAAAATTAACTAAAATATGAATAAACCCACTTCTAAGTTATATATTTCAAAAATTCTAGTGGAGCCTCTGAACAGAGGTCTGAGCTATATACAGGAAAAATATTATTCTAATAGAAGCATTTTTCACAAAAGGAGAACATTTGGAAAAAAGATTATTCTAAGTTCATTTTTTGCCAAAATATTGTATTTAAATAAATTTTTTTTGTCAAAATGTCCTTAAAACAATTTTATGCATATATTCTAATCTAAGTGACACTAGATATCATGAAAATTATCCATTTATGCGCTTTTGAAAATCACGGTTGTGAACGTAGTCGGATACCTTAATTATAACTGAAATTAAAAATATATTAATATTAAATTTAGTGCCTTAAACAGGTCACTGAAAAATTTACTTATTCTCATCAAACTTATGATTTTTAAAAAAAAATCATAAACATTCTTCTGGTTTCTAATTCAGATTAACTATTTATAATGGTAAATGTTTAGTAGTTGATAGTTTAATTAATGTTTCAAAATAAGGGGCATGTACATAAAGGAGAAAATAATTATATTAATAAAATTAAATACTTAATGATATACAAAATCAAGTTAGTATTTTTTTTAAATCTTAAAAGACTTGCACAAACGTTAACATAAGGAAGGATGATCCAAGCAAAAGAGGATGAATTTTATTCCCATGAAAATTATATACAACGGTGTGCAAAAGTTAAGGAACTAACACATTTTCATGGGTTTTTCAAAAAAGTACTGAACCAATTCAACTGATATTTGGTATGGAAATATTTTTAAGTATATACATATATATATATATATATATATATATATATATATATACTAAAACAAGTACAAAAAAAAAAAAAAAATTTTTAAATTCCATTCCTACTTAGGTTAACAAAGAAATTTTTTATTTTATAGTTACTTTTTATTAAATAATTACAATTGATACAAGTATATATATATACATATGAAAAGCTCACTATAATAAGTGGCAAAACAGAAAGCGATTTTCCTAGCAATTTCCTTTCTATATAGGGTGTTGGACTATTATTTGTTTTGTTACTATTTAATCATTAATTCAATTGAATTATTCCAATAAAACAGTATAGTAAAAACAAATCACATTCTCAGAAATAAGGCCATCCCAGGTGGGATGCGAACCCACGACCTGTAAATTAGAAGTCTAAAGCGCTATCCGTTGCGCTACAGGGACACAACGAGCGACTTTTCTTTCTATATATGCTGTTGAAGTATTACTTTTGTTTGTTACTATTTATTCATTTTTTTATTTTAATTAATGAATTGATATTTAAAAAAACTGTATTAACATCAAGTGTCATCTACTGCAAGTTTAAAAAAATGTATTTGAACTTGAGTCGATGAATAAAAAGTATTTTATTAATGATTGAAAATTTGTATAATATATACAGGGAGAGTGTGAACTAATAGTAGGAATTGAAAAAAATTATGACACTAAAAATTAATGATATTTTTTTTCTGATCATGATTTATACTCATGAAAGCATGATAGTGCAAAAAGGATGCAACGGGATGACATTTGTGAAACTATTTTGTATGATCGTCCCGGACAGCAATTCAACACTTCCAACAAACTCCTGCTGTTTATGAGATCTTGGGACAATAAATTCCACATCTTCACAAATTACTACTTAATGCCACGAGTATTCTAGAAAGGGACTGGAGAGCTCTAATTACTTTGCCAAGAGCATTCCAGACATATCTGACCGCTCTATCCTCCGAATATCCTCAGTTTCGGGGTATTTGTTGATCAGCCGAGCCCTATGTAACGAGCATTATCATCCATAAAAATGAACTGAGTGCTAACTACAACTTTGAAAAGGCTCCCACAGAACTTTAATTTCTAATTGCAAAATCTTAGAGCAGAGATGGGCATTAAGTCGATCGCGATCAACCGGTGGACTTTTATTAAGAACTTAAGACGTGCCATACTAAAATAAATATATTTATGGAACACCGACGCCAGCTAGACTGGATAATAGACTTTTCACAATCGATGCGAATGTGTTTACTAAGTGAATGATTCGATCAATATGTACCTTCATTGGATGCGAACGATTATGCTTAACACGTTCACTGCTCCTGCAGAGGAAAAAAGTTATCTCTGCTATACCAGTCGTATAAATGAAATTTTCCCCAAGCGCCAAATGAAGGGGATAGTTAAGTTGATGATCAGTTCTTTCCATGATAGAGCGGTATTGGCTATTGAGACATCATCGCACTCCCAAGGCTTCCACGGGTTTCGGTTCTCGTGTTGATCTCATGTCCCGCGGCAGTGAACAAATTAAGTTCAGTTTCAGATTCATAATTTCCCGTATGTTCCCTGATCGCTGAGTCCACAGTTTAACAGTCTTTCATAGTTGTTCAAGCATTCAACTAGATTATGTTGTGTTTTTGTGGAAAAAATAGTAATCTGTCATATTTTAAAAGAAGGGTACAATGTCGAAAACGAGTGTTAAGAAAAGAAACCATACGATTTTAATACAGAATGGCCGCACCTAAGCCACTGGGTGGACCGCAACATTTTAAAAACATTAGAAGTAGCCCGTACCCAGAAAAAGTCTGCCCACCTCTGTCTTAGAATATTCAAGATGCTTCCTTGAAAGATGTCCAACCTCTCACGCCATCCCAGACCACAGCACCACCACCTCCACAGTAGTTTACTTCCATAATATTGGATGAATACTACGAGGTCCTTGGTTCTCTCCATATAAGAACAGGTCGAGAATCAATATTCAGACAGAATCTCGACTTATAATAAGTAAACAGAACAAACACTAGCCCACTGTTTCCGAAACCAAGGTTTATGTTGTCTGCACCACGTCAAGCAGAACTCTCCCTGACCTGGAGTGAGTGGGATGGAGACTATTGGTATCTAGGCATGCAGTTCTGTCCTCCCTAAGCCTAACTCGGAATAGAGGTTCCCAAACCAGCGGAGAGCTTATTAAGTGGAATAGCTGTAATCCTCCAATTGCGATTAGTAATTATAGCCAATCAATGTTCATCCTGGCTTGTGGTGGCTCTTGGGCGCCTTATAACTGATCATCTGGATATTGCTCCTCTCCTAGAACTGGTTTAATAATCTGGAAACCATATTTCGGGAAGCTACCTCCACTTGGGATTGGCCTATATCACAACTACTCTGGACCGTAGTACATCATTCAGACGTTGCCTTTGTGTTACTGATTTAAAAGTTTCAAATGTAATCTTAAGCTTTCAGAAACATCAGCAAAACTAGAACGGCATATAGCAGTGTTTGAAATATCCATTTTATCAGTTTTCTTAATTTGTTTACAATGAGAGCGATCGAATTTGACTGGATAGTTAAGAAAAGCATCTTATCTTATCGTTATGTGTTTATCAATTTTCACTGAGAACAAATAAATGTTTTTTTAATGTGTTTGCTCCTTAATTTTGGCACTTCAGCATAAGTCAGTGATTCTCAACCATTTTTTGTCGTTGTTGCGGTACACTATTAACAATTTCAAAATTTGGCGGCACACTAACAATAAAATAAGTTTAAAAGAATTTTACTTATTTATAATACATTAAATGAAATAGTTTATGATAATAATTTTTGATATTAAATAAAATAACATGTATCACATAGACAATAAAATGTTTATTGAGTAATTAATTACAAATTAACTATACGAATACATTTAATGCGAAATTTTAGTTTAACGATTTTTGATAATTTCGTTTATATTTTGTCGTAAAAATGATGGCACCACTCTCATTTCGTCACCTACATTTAAAAGTCTCGATCTTTTTATCATTTTTATGTTAGTTAATGCTGAAAATCCGAGTTCACACAAATAAGATGTAGAAAATTGTAATAGCATTTTTAAATCTTTTTTGGCTATTATGCGCCTTAATTTTAATGGAAAATGAATTAATTGACTCTTTTAAATGTTTAGAAATTAAATCTCAGTTATTACAGAGAATGCGCGCGCGATCTTAGTTCTTCCACATCACTCAAAGTTAATTCATATACATATAAGGGCTGCGGTAGCCCAGTGGTCAAGGTATCGGATTCTGGCAGGCATGTCATGAGTTCGAGTCCAGTACCACCAAAGACCCACCGTGTAGGGAAGCGATGCGCGTTAAATCCGTCAAGAGCTCAAACGTTCTCCCGTTGGGAAGAAGGGGAGCCAAATCAGGTGTCGTCCTCTTCGCTTGACCATGGTTCAAAATGACGAGCTCCGTCACTAAAAACCCTCGTGTAGCTGAACAGTGCGACGTTAATAATCACTCACTCATAAATATCAGTTATCACAAATGGATTACCCAATCAATCTTAAACTGGGAAGTAATGAATAACTCTCTCTCCTCCCATGTAGTCGAAAGGTCTATAGCAATTTTATCAATTGTTTATTTCTATAAAATAAGCTAATAATTTGGTTCCGGAATTTTTTTATTATTTCAAGAATTTCACTGCACACACTAAAGTGCCGCGACACGGCGGTTGAGAATCAGTGGTATAGATGTTTCTTTTTTTATAATTGTATCTAACAAATTGAATTTCTTTTATTGCGAAACTTTTTTAAAATGACCATGTTTTCATTAAAATAAACCGTCTCTTTTAGAAAATTTATTCCCTCTTTTAAAATGAAAAAGGGGCTAATTTTTTTAAAAAAGGGTAAAAGTATTTTTTTGTTAAAATGTCTTTAAAAGGTGAAGGTTGTGTCATGTAAAAAATGAAACGTGGGACAAAAAATCTCCTTTTCATTAATTTTAGAGAGCAAACAATGATAACATTATTAATATACATGAAAAGAAAATATTAAGAGAACACAGGATAACTGCAACCCCGTTTAAAAAAGACTGAATTCCATTATTTGATGTTTTAATTTACATCTCATTGTTTTTTTATGTATTCCTCCAGAACAAATAATAAATTCAGCAAATGAATAGAAAATTTTTTTTAATCGCTAATCGCCAGAAGGGTATGAATATTAAATAAACTTTTTTTTTCTTTAAAAATTTACTACAAAACAGCAAGACACATCCTTCCTCCCTCCAACAGCTATGTTTTCTCTCTCTCTTCTCCAACCCCTGGGCCGCGGACCAATACCGCTCAGTGAATCAAATAGTACTGGGCCACATGAGTGAGTGGATATTAACGTCGCACTGTTCAGCTACTCGAGGGCTTTTGGCGACGGACCTCGTAATTTTGAATTGCGGTCAAGTGTCGAGGAGGACATCTGAGATGGCAAACCCCTCTCCTAGCTACCACATCACATGCTTTAGCTCTCGACAGATTTAACGTGCATCGTTCTCCAACACGACGGTTCTTCAAAGGTACTAGGCTCGAACTCATGACACGCCGGCCACGAGTCCGTCACCTTAACCACTAGGCAACCGTGCCCACAATACCGGGCCGCACAAATTAATTCCATTTTATTTACTGTGGAGAAAATATCTGGGGTTTGTGGGGCTTTTCATAGAAATCACTTCATATTCTATGTTAAATTACTTTATATTCATTTTTTGGTGTAACTGTATTTTATTCTGAAGGTATGTTTAATTACAATTATATTAAAGCTATTAAATAAAAACTATTAGAATATGAACAATCAACACCTCCCTTCAAAGGGCCGCGGTAAAATTATCAAACGTTGACCGGTCCGCGGCCATAAAAAGGTTGTTGAGCACTGCTCTGTTGTTGTTGTCGTGCGTTTAATTCTGGGATGCACACGAAAGAAGAGAAATAGATGAATAAAAACATACAATACAATTACAGAAGAATATAGACTTTATTACAAAGGATAATCCCAGCATATAGAACAGAAGGAGTGCACTGTTCATTCCCTTCGAAACGGGAATGAATCCATTTCAGGTGAAAGTCCGATTTCTTTTTCCGAAGATACACACATCCACGCCTCATTCCGGATTCGAACCCAAGCTCACTCGATTACTAGCCGAGCCTTATAACCACCATACTTTTTGGGCGGCGAGAGCATTGCTCTAAATGCTTCAATTGGCAACCACGAATAACTATACTGCACTACCAAATAAATCAAAACAATTTGTCCCAGACGTTCGAAAACCCCAAGCCACTGCTACATTTACGAGGCAAAATAAATCAGGACGCATGCGGTGCTATTTAATTCATCAGTCTCATCCATCGCACTATATCGCTCAATTATCTGGACTCCTTTAGGGTTAAGA